CGGGTGCTGCCCACCCCACGCAGCGGGGAAGGAGGCGCCTCTCACTCCTCCTTCCCCGTCAAGAGGTTCTAGCAAACACCACAATCCCGTTGTTTTTCATTAAAGAGCTACGGCTGAGGTAAAGGGGAACCTTTGACATCAGGCTTAAAGATCACGGAGCACTCTTCCACCAAAGCAAACCGCTTCCGACTTCCACCTCCGGTTCTCCGGACAGACAGACAGACGGACGCTGCCCAGAGCGACGGGAGGGGGACAGACTGACAGTGATGGGTGAGAAGGAGCTCAGCAGACCCTGGGAAGCAGGAGATAGGGAAAGGTCACTCTTGCTCTTCTGGTGTCCCTTCGTTTCTTCTGGCAAGAAAGTCACTCTCTCCCCCCCGACACACGTGAGGGGTTAACATGGACAAAACCCGACGGGTATTTGCAGGCAACCACGACTAATGCTGGGATGGCCACGAGCAACTACTCATCTCCTGCACCCGAGTGACCCGGGGCTGCCGCGCTGATCCCCAAACACAAACCAGACGGTGGGAGCAGAGCACTACCTTAGCCCAGAAGCACGTGAGGAATTCCTCTCTGCTCTCACCCTCCTCCCAAGCCTCAACCCTGACTTCTCCATCTGGCTTTTCTTCACAGCTTGGGCTGGCCCAAGCACCCACCTCAGCAGTGCTGGAGCCCTTCCCCATTGCTTTCGCCAACACTTGCTTCTTGGCTCCATCTATCTGGGAGCCCTGAGCGGTCACCACTCACCCCACGGGTTTTCAACAGAGAAAACAGAGGAAAGGGGCTGACCCAACTTCTAAACCACGGATGCTTCCAAAACATGCTCTGGTTAACGTCACTCAAACTGAGAGCTGCTAAACACACGCATTGAGAGAGGGGAGACAGTCAGGCTCCCCTCTCTCTGTCTTCTAGACACACCTGGTCCTTCTCAGACGGTCCTTTTCTCTGAGTTTTCTCGATGGCTGTGGACACCATCATTCCCCAAAGCAGGATCCCTGCAAAAAGCTGCTTTCCAGGTATCAGGGAGGTGAAGGATGCCCCCCAGCCCTCTGCCTTCAGCCCTGAGCCAAGGAGCTGCTCTCAGACGCCCCTCCCTGCAGGACAGGGTCTCCCCTGGATCTCCTCTCCCAGTGCTTTGGTTGTAAATCCCCCCTGGAAGTGGCAAACCCACTTCCCTGCTGCCACGTGGCGCGAAGACATCATCACCTTCGGCATCATAAAGAAAAATTTCTTCACCAAAAGGGTTGTCAAGCTCTGGTGGAGTCCCCATCTCTGGAGGGACTGAAAAGCCGCGTAGATGTGGTGCTCAGGGTGGCCTCAATGACCTTAAAGATTTTTTCCAACTTCAACAATTCCATGATTCTATGACTGCACTGACATAAAAAAAAAAATCTTCCCCCTTCATCTTAATCCACACAGACCTTGATGTTGCCAGTACCCTGCCCCAGACCCCGTCCTCGGGCAGCACACTGGCAGCGGGTCCCTCCTGAGACGTGCTCCTGGGCTGGGGTGGGAGGAGGGGGAGGAAGGGCAGGAGACCTTGAGGCAGGAGCAGTTCCTGGGATTAGGGATGACACCGGTTGATGACAAGTCAAAGGCTTGGGGCCAGGCTGGCTTCTGCCAAGGAGTCAGAGGGCAAAATGTCAGGAATAAAAGGTCTGGGGTCAAACGGATTATTTTAGCCAAAATGCCCTCCCTGACAGAAGCAGATGAAGGCAGGAGGCCGGGATGAGAGGAGGGGAGGTTCGTCCCACTCTGAGTGAGGGGGAGAGGTTACAAACTCCCCACATCCACGTCTGGCACCAACACTTAAAGAAAAGCAGGGAGGACCCCCGCCCTGCACAGTAAAGCGCAAAGCGAAGGGGAAGGCACTGCAAGGAGAAACGTGTCTCTGCCGGAAAGGGTTGGGATCTGTGGCCGAGCGCAGGACTGCCGGAGCGATGCTCACGTGCCTCCAAAAGAAAAGTCTCACCCATTTCTCTCCTCCTTCTTTCCAGATTTCCCAACATCTCAACCACTCCTAAGATGCAAGTCTGGAGTTCCCCTAATTCAAGGACAGCTCGCTTATTCCACGCAGTCCCTGCTTCGTTTTCGCCTCCAGGATCCAAGCAGCAGGATGGAGGAACCTACAGCTGAGCAGCGTGACGCTGCTGTCCCACCCGCTCCACGTCGGACTGGCACGACCCCACCGGCGCATCCACGTCTCAGCGCCTCGCGTGGTCCTGAAGCTGCCTGAGATCCACTCGCAGCACGTGAGAGCGAGACCTCAGCGATCCATGTCCCTGGGACAGCACCGTGCCCTTGTGGC